CACTTGATTGCCTGGGCCAGAGCACAATGACATTATCATAGTTCACTACAACCTCAAACTTCTGGGCTAAATCAATCCACCTGCCTTCTCAGCCTCCCAAATAGCTGGGAGTACAGGAGTGTGCCACCACACCTGGCTAATGTTTTTTTCCTTTAGAAGTCTTCTTCTTCTTCTTTTTTTATTATTCCAGGATATTGTGAGGGTATAAACATTATAGTTATACTTTATGTCTTTGCCTCACCCAAGTGCAGGTTAAAGGCATGCCCTTCCCTCCCTTTGTGCTTCTTTTTTTTGAGACAGAGTCTCACTCTGTCACTTGGGCTAGAGTATAGTGGCATCATCTGCAACCTCAAACTCCAGACTCAAGCGATCCTCCTGCTTCAGTCTCCCGAGTAGCTGGGACTACAGGTGCGCACCACCATGCCCAACTTATTTTTCTATTTTTGTGTAGAGACGGGGTCTTGCTATGTTGTTCAGGTTGGTCTTGAACTCCTGGCCTCAAGTGATCCTCCCTCCTTGGCCTCCCAAAATGCTGGGATTACATGCAGGAACCACCAGGCCCAATTCAATGATTTTTTTGATAGGAATTGCACTAAACATATAGATCAATTTGGGGAAAATTGACATCCTTACCATACAGTCTTCTGGTCAATAAACACAGATGTCTCTCCATTTACTTAGCTCTTCACTGATTTCTTTCATGAACATTTTATAGTTTTCAGCACTTAAATCCTACACATGTTTTGTTAGACTTATATCTAAGTCTTTCATATTTTGGGAGGCAATAGCAAAAATGCTATGGTTTTTTAAATTTCTGTTGTCAGTGGTTCATTCCTAATACACGGAAATATGATGGATTTTTTGTTGTTGCCCTTGTATCCTGTGACCTTTCTAAACTCATTTATTGATTCTATGAGCTTTTTTGGGTAAAGTCCCAGGGACTTTCTATGTAGACAACTGTCATCTGGGTGTAGGAATAGATTTATTTCTCCCTTTCCAGTCTAGATGCTTTTACTTCTTTTTCTTGTCTCACTGCTCTGGCAAGCAGAAGGATGTTGAATGGGAGTGGGGAGAGGGGACACTCCTCCCTTGTCCCCGATCTTATGCAGAGCTTTGAGACTTCCACCATAATGTTAGCTCGAGTTTCTGCAGATGCCCCTTTTCCTTCCTATTCCTAGTTTGCTGAGGTTTTTTTTTTATCACGAATGGATGCTGAATTTTATCAAATACCCTTTCTGCATCAGTTGATAATATCATGTGAATTTTCCTCTGTAGTTTATTAAGACGATGGCTTTTATTGATTGTTTTTTAAAACTATTTAACCAGCCTTACATTTTTGGGACGAACCCCGCCCTCTCCTTTTATATCCTTGTTACAGTTGGACTTCACTACGGGTTTGCATTACTTCCATAAGAAGCTGACATAACTTAAGTGTTGAAGAAATACACATACCTGATTCCATTTTTTCCTTTATCTGGCTTCTTGTTGAGGCCATCATTTACCTGAGAGAGAAAACAGTAACATAAAAACAATTTCAAAATCTTACTCATTAGAATAAGTTCAGATGAACTTTTTGGTCTCTGAGAAGGCAGTGTTGACACCTATCCTAGGAGCTAAGGGCCTGATTACATTTGAAGGGCGATTTCTCCGGGCCTGATTTTCCCTGAGGCTAACATGAGCCTCTGCAGTTTTTGATCCTTGCTGGCCAGTAGTTCCAGGGAACACTGCTCTCCAAGAACTTGGAACAAACCACTCAACAGCTCCCTAATTAAGCAAACGACCAAGAGTCTCAATCCTGTGTAGCAGTTCTGTAGAATCTCACTTGGCTTCACCTTACAGAACGCCTGCAGCTCTGTCACAGCTGCTTCTTGTACTGAATGTCATATTAGATATCTATATTTTGTCATCAAATATTTTGTGTGTATAGTATTCTACTGCTTTTACCCGATATACTCATTATATTTTTTCAGAGACTGCTCTAATTTTCTGACTACTCAGTGCAAATTTTTAAAATTAATGCAATTAAAAGTATATTTAAAACTTCATCTCAGAAAGTCCCTGAGGAAGAGTAAATTAAAAGCTCTGAATGACTTCAAAGTGCCCTTGTTTCTGAGGAAAATATGGAGACTCCCAAGGGAAGAGGAATGTAGTGTAGTTGAGTATAAA